TTTTTTTGTTTTGTGGGTGGTTTTTTTTTTTGGGTGATGACCTTTATTCTGCTACTTTGCTGAATTGGTCAACTATGTCCAATAGTTTTCTTACTGAATTTTTAGCGTTTTCTAAATACACTATCATATCATCTGTGTATAGATACAGTTTTACATCCTCTTTGCAAATCTGGATGCCTTTTATTTCCTTTTCTTGCCTTATTGCTCTTACTAAGAGTTCTAATACAATATTGAATAGGAGTGGTGATAGTGGGCATCCTTGCCTTATTCCTGTTCTCAAAAGAGAATATCTCTCCATTGAGAACAATGTTGACTCTTGTTATTGTGTATATACTTTTCACACTGTTGAAGAAATTCCCCACTAGTCTTATTTTGTTGAGTGTTTTAATCTGGAAGGGATGTTGAATTTTGTGAAAAGGCTTTTTCCGCATCAATTGATAGGATCATATAATTGTTCTTTGCTTTGTTAATGTGGTGAAATATACTGATTGGTTTTTTTTATGTTGAACCATCCTCACATACCCGATATGCATCCCACTTGCTCATGATGAATTAGCAATGAATTTTATCACTAGGATTTTGTTGAAGAATCTGTATCTATTTTCATGAGAGGTATTGATTATATTTTTCTATTTTGATGATATCTTTACCTGACTCTTATACCAGAGATATATTTGCTTCATTGAATGAGTCCAGGAGTATATTCCATATTTTTTCTGAAATACTTTATGTAGAATTGTGAACAGCTATTCTTGGAATGGTAAAATTCCCAACTAAAATAATTTAGTCTGGGGCTTTTGTTGTTGCTTTTGGAAGTTGTTTTATGACTTGTTCAATTTATTTTTTTAAACTGGGTCAGCTCAGGTGTTCTACTTAAGTTTGTTTCAGTTTGGGTGGATGGTGAGTTTCTAAGTAGGTTTCCTCTAGGTTTTCATATTTGCTTGAGTATAGTTTTTAATAAATTCCATTATTAACCTTTTTGTTTCAGTTTGTTCTGTTGTGATATCTCCCCTTTTATTTTAATTATTTGTGTCTTTCTTTGTTAGCTTTGCTAGTGGTTTACCCACAAAAAAATGTCCAACCATTATAATGGAGAAATCAAGATATTATCAGATAAGAAGAAACTAAGGAAATTTGTAAAAACAAGACCAATGATTCAGGAATTAATAAAGAAAATCCTTTTTATAAAGACACGACATAGGAGGATTGATCAAAGTAACCAGCACCAGCCAAAAAAAAGAAGCCAGCAAAATGATAGCAATAAAACCTTGCCTCTCAATAATTACACAGAATATGAATTGTTTAAATGTGCCAGTAAAGAGAAAAAGAGTAGCATACTGGGTAAAAACAACTCCATCAATATGCTGTCTACAAGAGACACACTTGAAAATGAAGATAAAGACAGACTAAAAATTAAAGGGTTGGGGGAAAAATATACCAAGGAAATGGCAACCAGAAAAAAAGCAGAGGTAGCAATATTAATTTCCAATAAAAATAGATTTCAGTATAAAAACCATCACAAAGAACAAGGAAGGATACTATATAATGCTTAACAGTCAATAGAACAAGAAGATTTAACCATAATGAATATCTATGCACCAAATGATAGTGCTGAAAAATACACAAAGCAAACATTAACTGACCTGAAAAAAAGAAATAGACAAACTACAGTAGTAGCAGATTCAATACACCACTATCAAGGAAAGAGGATAAAAGGTTCAGAGAAGAAAAGGTGAATCTGGAGTCAGAGTGGAAGTACTTAGATCAACTATACAATGTGTGAAACAATAAGGTAGTTTCTTTTCACCTGGGTACAAGTAGTCAGCTGGGCTTTCAAATCAGAAGTCAGCAGCTTATGCTGTTAGTGGGTGGGTTTATAAACAGATTGTTGGATTCAGCAGATCACAAATAAAATCTTGGTTGGGTAGTATTCTGTTGGTGTCTTTTTCTTATCTTGCATCTGTAGTCTTAGTTCTGCTCATTTTCTGTGGTATTTCTGGAACATCTCAGTTTTTGCCATTTCAGCTTTCTACTAGTATTTGAGCAGGCTGGAACTAGGGGAAGGGCTTTATCTGAGAAGTAGAAATTCTAGCAACAATGAGGCCATTTTATTAATCAGTGGAATTACCAGAAAGGAACTCAACAAAGATGCTGAAGAATTAAACCTTACAATCAACCAACTTAATCTCTTACAATCTAATGGACTCCCCAAAAGCTCAGTATACATTTTTCTCCCACATACATGGAACATTCGCCAGAATAGATCATATTTTAGGTCACAAAGGAAGACTATAAAAAAAATGAAATAAGACAACACATCTTCTTAGATCACAATGTTACAAAAATATAAATTAACAAGAGGATAAAGGAGAAAAACCATACAAAGGGAAGCTGAACAACACCCTGAATGAACATGAGTGGGTGATAGAAGAAATAAAAACTGAAATAAGAGAAAAAATTATTGAAACAAATGAGAATGAAAACCTAACTTACCTAAACCTCTGTGAAACAGCCAAAGCAGTCCTTAGAGGTTAATTCATAGCCATAAGCAAACACAAGCAAACACATCAGAAGGGAAGAAAACAGGTATTTAACACAATATCTCCAACAATTAGAAAATAAGAAAACAACTTCTAAAGGAAAGGAAATTATAAATATTAGGGCAGAAATGAATAGAAAACAAGCAAACAAAAAACCCCACAATTGAAATTTCAACAAGACCAAGAGTTGGTTCTTTGAAAAATGTGTCTTCTTTTAATTTTACATTTGAATTCATATTAGTAGAGAAGACAGACACTACAACTTGCAAAATTTTGTTTTCTATCAAACATGGCTCTCTAGCATCTGTGTAACTGAGAAACAAATGTTCTGTCTCCTTTGAGGTTTGGCATTTTGGCACCATGTGTATTGATTGCTCTGACACAGTTTTACCTTTCTTTGTATTTTGTGCTTTTTTAAATGTGTATCTGAGAGCTGAACAATAATATGGATGAGAGAAGAATTGATGTCTTTGAGCTGGTAGTGTTGGAGAAGAGTACTAAATATGCCATGGCCTACCAAAAGAGTGAACAGATATGTCTTACAGAAAGTATAGCCAAAGTGGTCGTTGGAGGCAAAGATGGCAAAGCTTCATCTCACATACTCTGGGCATGTTGTTAGGCAAGGCTATTCCTTAGAGAGGATCATCATGCTAGGAAAGGTATAAAGTTGAAAAAAGTGGATTGACACAGTTACTGCTTCTATGAGCTCACATATGTCATAAATGATGAGAATGGCACAAACAGGACAGAATTCAGATCTGTTGTTCATAGGGTTGCTATCAGTAGGACTTGACTCAATGGCACCTAACAACTTGTTTATTTTGGGTTTTGTTTTGGTTTTTTTTGGTTGTTGTTTTTAGTGCCTTTTTATGCTTGTATAGGTATAATTTGGAAGGCCTATGGGCAAATTTCGTACAGAGTTGTGCCACTAACTCAAAGGCCTTGCCTCTATAGCAGTTTGAATCCAGTAACTCCTCAGAAGAAAAACAATCTCCTCTGATCTATTTTATAGCCTCAGAAATCTGCTAGAGAGTCAGTTTCATCTCCATGACAATGAAAATGTAAAATGCGTCTACTCACATTTTTTTTCTTTGTTATATTTCATTTTGCATTTCCTAGAGTGTTCTGGTGGTCTTGTGGGCAAGGAATTGCACTGCCAATATAAAGGTAGGTGGCTCACATCCACAAATTCAAATACACTCTGTGCGAGGAAGATGGACAATCTCCTTCAATACAATTTACAGTCTTTGAACACCTGTTGGAAGGTCAGCTATGAGTAACTTCTGAGTCAACTAGCAATGAATGAGTGAGTGAGGCTAGCATTCATGTAACATTTTCCAAATTAAAGTGTTAAAAAATATGTTCATTTTCTTTATGACTCAGAGAAAAGACTTATTTGAAAATCATGTTAGGCTTTAAAGTGATCCAAGACTTCTTCAAAAGTATAACACGGTTTCTATTATAATTGCGTGAACAACAAAAATTCAGAAAGAACTGATTGACATTGAAAAATTTCAGTAATTATCTCATGAAAAAGAACCAATGGTAATGAAAGAGGAAGTAGATGCTACATTGAAGGCTTTGGAAAAAAAAATAAGGCCCCAGGAATTGATGGGTTAACAATTGACTTGTTTTAATTAACAAATGCAGCCTTAGGAGCATCACACACCTATGCCAGGGAATTTGAAGGATGGCTGGCTGGCCAATGGATTGGAAGAAGTCCATATTTGTTCCTATTCCCCAAAAAGTTTATCCAACTGAATGTGGAAGTTATAAAACAATATCATTGATATTATATGCAAGCAAAATATTGCTGAAGATCATTCAAAAGTGGCTGGGAAGAGGCCCAACAAGGTCCTACCCTGTGTCCTGCTCTTGGTTTGTCACAGGAGCCTTTTGGATTTTGCCGTTGCTGCTGCTTTGTTAGCCCAGGGCCAGTCACCTCCTCTCCATATTCAAGATGTCTCTTTCTAACAAGCTAACTCTGGACAAGCTGGACGTAAAAGGGAAGCGAGTAGTCATGAGAGTGGACTTTAATGTTCCTATGAAGAACAACCAGATAACCAACAACCAGAGGATCAAAGCTGCCATCCCAAGCATCAGATTTTGTTTGGACAGTGGAGCCAAGTCTGTTGTTCTTATGAGCCACCTGGGCAGGCCGGATGGTGTCCCCATGCCTGACAAATACTCCTTAGAACCAGTTGGTGTAGAACTTAGATCTTTGCTGGGCAAGGATGTTTTGTTCTTGAAGGACTGTGTTGGCCCAGAAGTGCAGAAAGCCTGTGCTGACCCAGCTGTTGGTTCTGTCATCCTGCTGGAGAATCTTCGCTTTCATGTGGAAGAAGAGGGGAAGGGAAAAGATGCTTCTGGGAATAAGGTTAAAGCCAAGCCAGCTGAAATAGAAGCCTTCCAGGCTTCACTGTCCAAACTAGGGGATGTCTATGTAAATGATGCTTTTGGCACTGCTCACCGAGCCCACAGTTCCATGGTGGGAGTGAATCTGCCACAGAAGGCTGGTGGTTTCTTGATGAAGAAAGAGCTGGATTACTTTGCCAAGGCCTTGGAG